ACTCCCAAAACCTACTGACTTTTCACAACAATCATTTATTTAGTCCACGATTCTGTGAATTGGTTGGGTAGTTCTAGTCTGGATCAACTGATCTCTGCTGAGCTTTCTCATGCATCTGTGGCAGCAGTTGGACTGGAAGTGGATGATCTAGATCTAGGATGGTTTCACTATGTGTCTGGCTGTTGGCAAGTTATCAGCCAAGGTGACAGGGGTGACTGGGCCATGGTCTTTCATCCTCCCGCAATCTCGTTCAGGCTTCTTCACATGGCAGTTGTTGCAGAGTGCCCAAAAGCAACAAGAGAGAGCAAGCTCCAATGTACAGGTATTTTTCAAGACTGCTTGCATCATATTTGCTAAATTTCCATTAGTTAGGGAAATCACAGTTCCAGCCCAGTGTCAGTGAAGGAAATAATTCGTGGCCATTTTTGTAGCCTGCCACAATCCTCATCATCACTGTCATCATATAAACCAGTATTTGTTGAGCATTTACTAAGTGCCAGATGCTATTCTAATCATACTACATTTATCAAAGCTTGTAATTCTAGCCACAACCTTATGAAGCAGATACTATTCTATCTTATATTGGAGAAAAGGAAACTGAGGCACAGAATGGCAAAGCAACTTACCCAAGGTCACACAGCTGGGAAGCATGGGCGGTGGAATTCAAACCAGTGCTCTAGAGCCATACTTGTAATGACTGTTCTCTACTGTCTCTTCTTCATACACTATGTGTGGACTTTTCCATGATTTCTTCTTTTTTATAAGTGAGTGATCTAGGAAGAGATAATACTTTGATTTTTTTTTTTTTTTTTTTTTTTTTTTTGAGATTGAGTCTCACTCTGTCGCCAGGCTGGAGTGCAGTGGTGCAATCTCGGCTCACTGCAACCTTCGCCTCCTGGGTTCAAGCGATTCTCATGCCTCGGCCTCCTGAGTAACTGGGATTACAGGCACATGCCACCACACCCAGCTAATTTTTGTATTTTTAGTAGAGACGGGGTTTCATCATGTTGGTCAGGCTGGTCTTGATCTTCTGACCTCGTGATCCACCCAACTCGTCCTCCCAAAGTGCTGAGATTACAGGTGTGAGCCACTGTGCCTGGTCAATACCTTGATTTTGACAGGTTCCCTGAACATTGCCATATCTACCACCACTTTGTCCACACTTCAGCATTTTTCCAACAAAGCACCTTGAGTTTTTCTCATCCAGGATTGGTGTGACTGGGATGCATTATTCCAGATCTTGGTAGTAACTTTTGATCACTTTCTGGTTCTTTGTGGTGAGGGTATTGGCAATGGTGACGGAAGTTCAGAGCTTCATTCGTAGAGCACTTCATCTTTTATTTCTTCAGACAAGTTTGGGGGCTTGGAAACATGTGGCTGATAACAATGTTGAAATATTACTTAATATATACATAGCATTTATATATGTTTATTAATAGTTTCTCAGAGGTGATTTACAATACCTTTTGATATCAGAGACTATGGCTTTCTCTCTATCCTTAGCAACTAGCACAGGCAAGAGCACACAGAGGACACATTGGAGGAGCTCAGTACATGTTTGTTGTAAATATCTACATCCATATCTGTATTTTATTAAGACAGGGTAACAAACACATATACACACATATACTAATGATGATCAGGTGTGATCACTAAAGAATGGTGGACACTGGCATCCAGTAGAGAACTCATGCCCCATCTAACAGTAGAAGATCTAGCCATTTGATACCATGTAGGAATGCTAAGTGTTACCAGATTGTTTCATTATTCAAGAGATGCTGGAACTTCAGATGTATATGTAAAACTTTTCTGAATGTAAACAGTGTATGTCAGATGAAACAGGTCTGTTGCCTGAATCTGGCCCATGGGCAATTGATTTGTGACCTCCCTACATTAGGCACTTGTTGGCACCTTTCGATTGCATTATAACTGTCCTGAAGGCCCGAGGTGGAAGGGGAGACACAGAATAAGGCAGAGATGGAACAGTGAGATGACAAGAGATGAAAGACTTTGAGAAGGATGGATGATTGCCTATTTCAGAGATTCTGCAGAGGTCAAAGAAATGGGAATAAGAAAAGGCTATTAGATTAAAGCAAATTAATTATTTGGCACAGCACTACATCTACAGGCTGTGTTCTTTTAAAAAATTATCAAATAACATGGGAAATACTCTGTAAAGCAAATGAAAATAATTTCTTTACTCTGACCCTTCTAATTGTCTTTAATATTCTATTATGCAATGTAAATCTCTAAAAGGAGAAGAGATTTACTGAGATTTTTTAAACTTTCATGATTAAGAAGTCCTTAGGTCATACAATCCCTTGTATATAGAATGCTTTGAGGAAAACACCTTGGAAAAGCTGGATAAGAGACTGAATGAGTCATTGGGAATCTATGGAGGCCTGATGTGGAGACTGGAATGCACATGGTAGTGAGCGAACGCACAATGAGCCAGTAAAGCAGCTTGGCAAGTAAAGAAAGTAGGCCAACCTATCAGGAACTAGGAATTGCCAGCTTAGTAATCTTTTTAAGACAAAATCGTTTTAGCATCATTCCTTTGCTGAAAACAAACCAGCAAAAAAAAAAAACAAAACAAAAAACAAAAAACAAAAAAAAACATCAAGGAGTGCCCTCCTCTGATGGGTGAAAGCTCTTTGCTTTAACAATCCAGGTCTCCTTTATCAGGCCAACTGACCTTTCTCATCCCCCAGTTGTTCCCTGGCCTTTCTCATTCCCCAGTTGTTTCCTACGCTCACTCCCTGCTCTAAACACTCTACTCCACTGGCTGTCCTTATTGCTTGCATGGTGAGTTGTCTCCCCAGCTGCTCCGGTTAGAGACATGCCTGCTTTCCAAGGCACAAGTGAAACCCTGCTTTCCCTATTAAGCCTTCCTTAGCCATCAAGCTGCTAGTCAGTTCTTTTCCTTACACAACTGGAGCAGTTACTTCTGAAGGACTTGCATAGGACTTACTGTGTTGGAGACAGCCTATATGATTTGGAGCCAAGAGAATAAAACTGCGTCTTGAGATCTGCAGCTCTCTACACACACTTGTCCTCACAGTACACCCAAATAAGATTAGCATAATATTGCCCAGAAACACAGAAGAGCAAGGGCATAACTCCAATCACATTGCATTTCATAGATTGTGGTCTATAGTTATACAACCACCTATTATTCACTGAGGGTAAAAGAGTGTATTCTCTTTTATAGACTTGCTCAACAGTAAAAACCATCATTTCTAGACACTAGGCTGAGTATATTACATCTTTATCTTGGTGAATCTCACAAGCTCCCTAAGAAGAGTGTTATTATCCCCATTTTACAGAGGAGGGAGCTGTCTTGAAACATTCAACTCAGCTTGTTCACACTTACGACCAGCTCTGTATCTGGTGAAGCTAGAGTCAGGTGTACAACCTCATGTACCTGACCCCAAACCTGGGCTCTTTCTGTCCCAGCACACCATCTCCATGGCCATGCTGGCCACTAGAAATTTAATGACAGAGAATTAAAGGTAAGAATCACACTGTGCCTTCAAGTGGCAAATATATACCACTAGACAGAGGAAGACAGACAAAATCTAGTTAGGGACTACACAGTTTGAATATCATAGAACTTGGTACATTCTGGGGTATCACAAGGACCTAGCACAGCTCAAGAGAGGCCCTCTTGAGTGAGATTTGGAGGTTGCAACATTATGGGGGCACATGCATGGCCCACAGGGCAGTGAGAGTCTTCTACTCCCTGGCCATTCGTCAATGTCACTGAAGGAGGTGACCTTCATTTCCACGCTACTCTAAGCTCGTCGCTTTTCTTTCTGTCTCCTTTACTAGACTGTGGACTCTGAGGAGAGCAACTATTTTATTTATCCAGCCCTGTCACAGTTTCTGGTATATAAGCAGTAACTATTTGTTGGTTTGATGAATGAATGACAAGTCAGCCAAGGCAAGGTGCTCAAGGTGACACGATAGACACAGCACAATGTATACAACCTTATTCCCCCATCAGAGAACTGGATTACCTCACTGCATGTTACGTGTCTCCCCTGTTTGTTTATACACTATCCAGAAGTCTCTGGCTTCTCAGAATGCTTGACAAATTCCAAGTCCTCCCTTCAATAATGTCAAACCTTATAATTTTCAGGCCTCATCGAAGATTGTGAAATCCTGCAGCAGCACAGGAGGTGTGTGCTGCCCCTTGCACTTTCCCCACATCTTCTGACACAGTACCTTGCACAGAGCAGGTTCTATACGCATGCACATTGAATGACTGCATTGAAATAGATTGGAAGCATGGTTAGGAACCTGTCCTAACCGTGCAATCTTGTTGAGACAATGCTTGGTGAATTCGGGTGATAAAGGGAGAAGAAACCAGGATAGTGACAGTGACATAGATGGGGCAAAAAGAGTGAGCAGGATCTGTCAACATTGGATATGGGAGGTGGGGGAGGAGGAAGAGAAAAAATGATTCAAATACTTCGATCTCAGCTGACAGTTTGAAGGATTATGCCCAAGGGGGAAATAGGGAAGTTCTCTTTCCCCATAACGCTCTCATCCTCACTTCAGTTTAAGCATGGAGAAAAGATTTCCCATAAAAGTCAGGCTGAAACACTCCGTGGAGGGAGACAGACCCGGGACAGTCATTCAGGAGTGTCCAGGAAAACAAGAAGGAAAGGTTTGCCCTCATCTCTCTGCAGAAGAGCTTTGCTCTGCTGAGGAGGAGAAATTTGAGCTGAATGTATTTTTGGTTGGTATGACTTGTAAGTTCTCTGTTTGATAGCAGAGTTGTTTGAATGACCTATTTTATAACTACACAGAGCTTTTCCAAATAGATGGTGTCTGTAGAATGTTCAGGTTAATGCATGAGCCCAGTGCTCAGAGTGTTTGCACTTGGAGCATCTGAGCCTTCTTTCTTAATAAGTCATCTTGGCATTTTGTCAACAAGTTAATTTGCTTTCCTAAGAAACTAGATTAATACTTCCTGTACTTTGTGCTATTCACAGATCTACAATGCAGTGAGAAGAGGAGAAGAAACAGAAAATACAGTTGGATCTCTACTCCATTTCTTCACCAAGCTCCCAGTCTCCGAGACAGCCCATGGAAGAATAAGTGTTGGTCCATGCTTAAAGCAATGTGTCCGAGACACTGTATATGAGTATCGCGCCACCCTCCAAAGGACTTCAATATCGCAGTACATCACCGGTTCTCTCCTAGAAGCAACCACGTCTTTGGGAGCAAGAAGTGGCCTTCTCAGTACTTTTGGAGGATCCACTGGACGAATGATGCTGAAAGGTAATGCCTGAAATTTCACTTTTAACTTTTTATCTTTGACTAGAGAGAAGGATCTAAGTTAAGATTTATGCATTCCTGATGGAAAATTGAGTTCACTTTTCAGTGACTTTAAGTAAAAGTCACTTCTTTAAGAGAATATAAAAAGGTGCTCCCTTCTTAAAATCCCCTAAGGTATCAACATTCCAAATAGTAATCATTAAGATTTTGAAACTTTTTTTCAAATGAAGTAAATGGTTAAAATGCTATCTTTAATTTTTTTTTTTTTTAATGATTCAGGCAGGTAGTTTCTCCTAGTGGTAGTTTATGTCAAATGTCAATTACTATGATAAGATGCTAGGAAGCAAATATGGTCAAGCAGTCATATTGAAAACCCACTGTGGCTGGGAGCAGAGTGAAATGTAGATCTCCTTCATACACAGAATTGATAGGTCTCCATTGACCAGAAGAGCCAAAGGCCATCTTCCAGCTACTCCCATCTTAAAGTCAAGATAGGCAGGCATCCCACTGAAAAATGAAAACCAATGGAAAGTGGGATCCCTTGGCATTTGAACTTCCCAGCTACTTCCCACGAGCAGCAGACAGGCAGGTCAGAAATGGCAGTGCATCAAAGAACCTCGGAAACTTGTACACTGCACAGCTGTCATAAGCTGCTTGGCAGCCTTCCCTGGCAGGAAGCTGCCAACCAGACAGGGACCATGCAAAGCAGCATTCCATTGCCTGGGGGTTGCCAGAACTCAATCTGACAGCGGCTATTGTCCCTCCATAACAAATCCTGAGACCCAAAGCCAGCAGGCCAGTGACCTGCCTCCTTGATCCTCAGCCTTCTCCATTCCTATCCCCATACACACCCCTAGACAGGCCTAAGAGGAATACCATAACCTCCTTGTGTACTATGTTGGGTGCCAAGTTGGTTTGTTTTCTGTAGTCACCCAAACTTCAGGGGATTGGTTATAAATGAATGAAGAATAACAGAAGATGTGGGAACACTAATCCAGGAAACTAATAGCTTCATGTTTTTCAGCCATTCAACACATTTTTTGAGCCCCTATTAGATATAAGGTGCTGGAAAGGGAACAAAACGTAATTCCTGCCCTCATGGAGTTTATAGTCTCTAGGTGGTAAGTTGTTTTCCCTACACACAGGATTCAAGGTTTCTCCCCTCTGATGTGGCTCTCAAAGAGTGCCAAGCCTGCATTCTTCATCATACTCTTCTCAGGAAGTTGGGCTGAGATTGGCCTGTGGAATTGGCATTGTTTTAATGCTTGTGATTTTATGCCAGTGCCTTATCCCATGAGTTAATCAACATGTGTTGATTAAACCCCTCAACCCCTCCCATTTGGTTTTCAAAGTCTTTTTTTAAATTATTATTATTATACCTTAAGTTTTAGGGTACATGTGTACAATGTGCAGGTTTGTTACATATGTATACATGTGCCATGTTGGTGTGCTACACCCATTAACTCGTCATTTACATTAGGTATATCTCCTAATGCTATCCCTCCCACCTCCTCCCCACAATAGGACCTGGTGTGTGATGTTCCCCTTCCTGTGTCCAAGTGATCTCATTGTTCAGTTCCCACCTATGAGTGAGAACATGTGGTACTTGGTTTTCTGTTCTTGTGATAGTTTGCTGAGAATGATGGTTTCCAGCTGCATCCATGTCCCTACAAAGGACACGAACTCATCCTTTTTTATGACTGCATAGTATTCCATGGTGTATATGTGCCACATTTTCTTAATCCAGTCTGTCACTGATGGACATTTGGGTTGATTCCAAGTCTTTGCTATTGTGAATAGTGTCACAATAAACATACGTGTGCTTGCGTCTTTATAGCAGCATGACTTATAATCCTTTGGGTATATCCCCAGTAATGGGATGGCTGGGTCAAATGGTATTTCTACTTCTAGATCCTTGAGGAATCGCCACACTGTCTTCCACAATGGTTGAACTAGTTTACAGTCCCACCAACAGTGTAAAAGTGTTCCTATTTCTCCACATCCTCTCCAGCACCTGTTGTTTCCTGACCTTTTAATGATGGCCATTCTAACTGGTGTGAGATGGTATCTCATTGTGGTTTTGATTTGCATTTCTCTGATGGTGAGTGATGATGAGCATTTTTTCATGTGTCTGTTGGCTGTATGAATGTCTTCTTTTGAGAAGTGTCTGTTGATATCCTTTGCCCACTTTTTGATGGGGTTGTTTGTTTTTTTCCTGTAAATTTGATTGAGTTCTTTATAGGTTCTGGATATTAGCCCTTTGTCAGATGAGTAGTTTGCAAAAATTTTCTCCCATTCTGTAGGTTGCCTGTTCACTCTGATGGTAGTTTCTTTTGCTGTACAGAAGCTCTTTAGTTTAATTAGATCCCATTTGTCAATTTTGGCTTTTGTTGCCATTGCTTTTGGTGTTTTAGACATGAAGTCCTTGCCCATGCCTATGTCCTGAATGGTATTACCTAGGTTTTCTTCTAGGGTTTTTATGGTTTTAGGTCTAACATTTAAGTCTCTAATCCATCTTGAATTAATTTTCGTGTAAGGAGTAAGGAAAGGATCCAGTTTCAGCTTTCTACTTATGGCTAGCCAATTTTCCCAGCACCATTTATTAAATAGGGAATCCTTTCCCCATTTCTTGTTTCTCTCAGGTTTGTCAAAGATCAGATGGCTGTAGATGTGTAGGTATTATTTCCGAGGGCTCTGTTCTATTCTATTGGTCTATATCTCTGTTTTGGTACCAGTACCATGCTGTTTTGGTTACTGTAGCCTTGTAGTATAGTTTGAAGTCAGGTAGCATGATGCCTCCAGCTTTGTTCTTTTGGCTTAGGATTGTCTTGGCAATGCGGGCTCTTTTTTGGTTCCATATGAACTTTAAAGCAGCTTTTTCCAATTCTGTGAAGAAAGTCATTGGTAGCTTAATGGGGATGGCATTGAATCTATAGATTATCTTAGGCAATATGGCCATTTGCACAATATTGATTCTTCGTATCCATGAGCATGGTATGTTCTTCCATTTGTTTGTGTCCTCTTTTATTTCACTGAGCAGCGGTTTGTAGTTCTCCTTGAAGAGGTCCTTTACATCCCTTGTAAGTTGGATTCCTAGGTATTTTATTCTCTTTGAAGCTATTGTGAATGGGAGTTCATTCAAGATTTGGCTCTCTGTTTGTGTCTGTTACTGGTGTATAAGAATGCTTGTGATTTTTGCACATTGATTTTGTATCCTGAGACTTTGCTGAAGTTTATTATCAGCTTAAGGAGATTTTGGGCTGAGACAATGGGGTTTTCTAAATATACAATCATGTTATCTGCAAACAGGGACAATTTGACTTCTTCTTTTCCTAACTGAATCCCCTTGATTTCTTTCTCTTGCCTGATTGCCCTAGCCAGAACTTCCAACACTATGTTGAATAGGAGTGGTGAGAGAGGGCGTCCCTGTCTTGTGCCAGTTTTCAAAGGGAATGCTTCCGGTTTTTGCCCATACAGTATGATATTGGCTGTGGGTTTGTCATAAATAGCTCTTATTATTTTGAGATACATTCCATCAATACCGAATTTATTGAGAGTTTTTAGCATGAAGGGCTGTTGAGTTTTGTCGAAGGCCTTTTCTGCATCTATTGAGATAATCATGTGGTTTTTGTCTTTGGTTCTGTTTATATGCTGGATTACGTTTATTGATTTGCATATGTTGAACCAGCCTTGCATCCCAGGGATGAAGCCCACTTGATCATGGTGGATAAGCTTTTTGATGTGCTGCTGAATCCGGTTTGCCAGTATTTTATTGAGGATTTTTGCATCGATGTTCATCAGGGATATTGGTCTAAAATTATCTTTTTTTGTTGTATCTCTGTCAGGCTTTGGTATCAGGATGATGTTGGCCTCGTAAAATGAGTTAGGGAGAATTCCCTCTTTTTGTATTGATTGGAATAGTTTCAGAAGGAATGGTACCAACTCCTCCTTGTACCTCTGGTAGAATTTGGCTGTGAATCTGTCTGGTTCTGGACTTTTTTTTGGTTGGTAGGCTATTAATTATTGCCTCAATTTCAGAGCCTGCTATTGGTCTATTCAGGGATTCAACTTCTTCCTGGTTTAGTCTTGGGAGAGTGTAAGTGTCCAGGAAATTATCCATTTCTTCTAGATTTTCTAGTTTATTTGCGTAGAGGTGTTTATAGTATTCTCTGATGGTAGTTTGTATTTCTGTGGGGCGGTGATGATATCCCCTTTATCATGTTTTATTGCATCTATTTGATTCTTCTCTCTTTTCTTCTTTATTAGTCTTGCTAGTGGTCTATCAATTTTGTTGATCTTTTCAATAAACCAGATCCTGGATTCATTGATCTTTTGGAGGGTTTTTTGTGTCTCTATCTCCTTCAGTTCTGCTCTGATCTTAGTTATTTCTTGCCTTCTGCTAGCTTTTGAATGTGTTTGCTCTTGTTTCTCTAATTCTTTTAATTGTGATGTTAGGGTGTCAATTTTAGATCTTTCCTGCTTTCTCTTGTGGGCATTTAGTGCTATAAATTTCCCTCTATACACTGCTTTAAATGTGTCCCAGAGATTCTTATATGTTGTGTCTTTGTTCTCATTGGTTTCAAAGAACATCTTTATTTCTGCCTTCATTTCGTTATGTACTCAGTAGTCATTTAGGATCAGGTTGTTCAGTTTCCACGTAGTTGAGCAGTTTTGTTTGAGTTTCTTAGTCCTGAGTTCTAGTTTGATTGCTCTGTGGTCTGAGAGACAGTTTGTTATAATTTCTGTTCTTTGACATTTCCTGAGGAGTGCTTTACTTCCAACTATGTGGTCAATTTTGGAATAAGTGCGATGTGGTGCTGAGAAGAATATATATTCTGTTGATTTGGGGTGGAGAGTTCTGTAGATGTCTTTAGGTCTGCTTGGTGCAGAGTTGAGTTCAATTCCTGGATATCCTTGTTAACTTTCTGTCTCATTGATCTGTCTAATGTTGACAGTGGGGTGTTAAAGTCTCCTATTATTATTGTATGGGAGTCTAAGTCTGT